TTGGTTTCATGGCTGTTTCCTGGTTTAGTCAGAGTAATTTAACAAAATCAATTACCGTCTTTTTAAGTTTAGGTTATCATTTAGAAGCTGCTGTTTGGGTGAAGATATGGGTACTGTGATTTAGTTTATGCTCCGGTAATCTGAAATAATGAACAGATTTTTTTTTTCTAGGATTTGCTATGTTTTTGAAATGCATTAGATAAAAAAAAAAAAAAAAAAAAAAAAGGAAAAGAAGTGCAGAAAAAAGAAAAGAAAGGAAAGAACAAAAAAAAAACAGAGGCGGAAAAAAAATGGAACAAAAAAAAACAGAAAATGAAAAAAAGAAAAGAAAAGAAAGCAGAAACGGAAAAAGGAAGAAGAGAAAGCAGAAATGAAAAAAAAAAAAGAAAAGAAAAGAAACGGAGAATAAAAAATGATTGAGGGATTTTTTTTTTTTTTTGTTGAAGTGATTTTTTTTTATTTATTTGGTAATTATTATTATTTGATAAAAATTGAAATTTCTCCAAAATTAAAGTATGTGGTAACCATATTTATATGGAAGTTTGTGGGGTGCCTAACACCTTCCCCACGCTTAACCGACTCTCCGAACCTAGTTAATTTCTGCAAAGGCCTTGGTGATCTATCCCACCTCATTTGGATAGATGGCGACTCCATCTATTTTGGCACGTCAACAATAGGTATTCTGCAGTCAAAATGATTAAGACTGAAACAAACCTTCTGCAGCAGCACCATTACAAGTGCCAGAGTGTCCAGGAGCAAATATACAACAAAGTGAACTGCTCATGGCAACCAATGCTATAACACTCAGTGACATAGTGAGTTTTTCCCATTACCGTGGGGATCCTTCAAAAATGTCAAAGGAGAAGCTGTGAAGAAATCAATAAAACATTCAAGAAGCTCTCAAAAAGAGAAAAAAAGAAGAATTAAGATGACTAAAAGAAGAGTGCTAATCCCATATAGGCTAAATGGAAGATAAAATTCAAAATGCAATAGCATCCAAGATGAAAAGACGGCAACACACAATATCAGCTTGGACATTATAATAGGAAATGAAGCTAGCAGAACTATGAGAAATACCATGAATAGAACTTAGCCATACAATTGTCAGTAACTTGAGGTTGCTTACAAATCCAAGTGCTTGACCACATTGAAACAGTTTCTTGGTGTTAAACAAATAGAACTTACAGTAAATTGAGGTTGTTACACTTCTGACATTGTCTAAATTTTCTTAATGGAACAGTTATTCTTGATAGATGAATTGCCTTCCAATTTCAAATCATGACTAGGTTATCAGAAAATTTTACTTAAAAGAAAATATTTGCAGAAGTACATAGATGCAGAAGTGAGCTTGAAAATCACAGCCATTAAAGCATGATTCGCTTAACATCATACTAGGACAAATCAGGAAAGAAACCAAATGGATAAATTAAACAAAATTAACCTTAAGCAAATTGGTTGAAGCATTTATCCTAACTTTCAAATTTCAGTTAGTAGTTGGTTCACTCCACCATGTCATTTTAGAAGAAGCAATAGGAAAAAACGTTGCATATATAAGTTTTGACAAAATGACTCCCAGTAAGGACCTGCACCTAATCTTCTGAAAATCTAACAAGATGAGACTAAATTTAGTTAATGAGTTCTTTGCTGACAAAGATGGTAGTGCATGAGACACCACCATAATAGAAAATGACTAAATGAGAATGGAAGATCCACAAAAGAATCAATATTTGTCACAATCTATTATGAAATGAGCTACAAATCATTTTGCAAACTGACCTAGAAGGCTGAATGCTGAGATTGCTACATCATCTCCAATAGTGACAGTGAACATTAACTGCCCAACAATAAAAGCAAGCTGGATTCAAATAACAGAATAACTTCAAAAAGTTTCCATTATTCAGTAGTTGACAAAGAGCAAGCAGCATTACAAGAAATGAACCAGAAACAAGTACGAAGAAATGCAAAATGAAATCTTTTACATGTTTAAACTGTTTTCTAGAAAGCATGTATAGTCAACAGCAACTCAGAACCTTAGACCATCAGAAGAACTCCTATACAACACTTGTGAACTAATTAAGGCAAGTTACATAAGGAATCACCTGGAGTTACATCAATAGAGGAGGCATTTATGCCAGTGATTGCTGCATCAGTACATGATCCATACCCACTAACATTCCATAACTAATATGGCAATCTCCCATAAGAATATTCCGGATTGTCTTGAGCATCTCTTGTTGGGTTCTTGAGACCTTCATTGAAACAAACTCCGCATCACCAGAAGGGATGAAAAGAAATAATTCATCAAGATAAACACTATGTTAATGACAGCAGGTGAAGACATTTTTGATTCGGATGAAAACAAATAAGCAAAAGCTAATGTACATATTTTGTTTCGGATATTCTGATTTCATTAGGAACAAACATTTTATTTCAATCTTCGCAAGCAGAAAACAATCATCTGATTTTTGAGTTTACACAATACACAACATACCATCCAGTTAGGTAATTAAGCAAAAATCATTAATTTATCCGACACGTATTCACCCACTAAGTGATTAATATTTTCTATATTTTTGATAACTTCACATACGCAAATAATTTTTTCAAAGAAATTATCATGATGTTAACATGGTAATGGATCCGACCCGCCCCATCCAATGGATTTAGTAATGCAATCAGCGACTGCACAACTCCCAATCACAACATAATACAAGAATTTAAAATCCAAAAATGAAA